AGCCCAGGAGTTTGAGGTTGCTGTGAGCTAGGCTGATGCCACGGCACTCACTCTAGCCTGGGCAATAAAGCCAGACTCTGTCTCAAAAATAAATAAACAGAGCCGGGCGTGGTGGCTCACGCCTGTAATCCTAGCACTTTGGGAGGCCGAGGCGGGCGGATTGCTCAAGGTCAGGAGTTCGAAAGCAGCCCTGAGCGAGACCCGCGTCTCTACCAAAAATAGAAAAAATTAATTGACCACTAAAAATATATACTAAAAAAAAATTAGCCGGGCATGGTGGCGGCATGCCTGTAGTCCGAGCTACTCGGGAGGCTGAGGCAGTAGGATCGCTGAGCCTGGAGATTGAGGTTGCTTGGTGAGCCAGGCTGACGCCACGGCACTCCACTCCTAGCCCTGGGCAACAAGTGAGACTCCTGTCTCAAAATAAATAAATAAATAAAAGTAACATACAATGAATACCAATACAATAAATAATAATACCACATAATAAAAGGTATGCTACTAATCAAACGAATAGAGTATATGATTTCCAATCAGTAAGGAACAAAATAAAACAAGGAAAGACGATCCTACATAAATTCAAAAGAAGGCAAGAAAGGAGGGAAGAAAGAAACAAAATATGAAATAAGATGGTATTAATAGAAATAAATTCAAATATATTAGTAATAAAAATAAATGTAAATAGATTAAACTCAGCAATTTAGTTAGTATTTGTAAAATTGGATTTAAAAAAAACACACCTAACACATAAGGACACAGAAAAACTAGAGGTAAATGGTAGGAAAAAATATTCAAGGCAAATACTATCCAAAAGTAAGCTGGAATGACTCTATTCATATCTTACTATCAGACAAAATTATCATTAAGAAGAAATAATTATTCAAGATAAAGAGGATCTCTATATAATGGCAAAATGTTTAATCATTTGGAGGATATTAACATTCTAAACTTGAATGCATCGCATAAAACAGCCTTGAAATACATAAAGCAAAAATTAAAAGAATTACAAAGAGTAAGTGACAGATCTACCATTATAATGGGAGATTTCAACATGTCTCAGTGAATGATAACACATTTGTAAAAATAAAATAGACTTTAGCCACAAAGTTACATTAGATTTAAGGAGACTATGTGGCACTCTATACAGAATATTGGAAGACACACATTTTTGCAAGTATACATGAGACATTTACAAACTACATATAGGTTATAAAACAAGTCTCAAGGCTTAGTAGCAATTAGACTGTGTAATCTGAATATTTTATTATTAACAAACACATGGCATTTTTATTATGTACCAGCACTGTTCAAAGCATTTTATTATTATTACCTTAATTAATCCTCATAACAACACTCTGGGATAGGAACTGTTATCATCCCACTTTAAAACTAAAGAAACTGAGGCAAAGAGCTTAAGTAACGTAAGCCCAAGACCATTCAACTTATAAATGGTGGACCTAGGGTTCAAACTGAGGGAATCTAGCTTTAAAGTTCATACTCTTTTGTACTAAAGTTTGAAAGGAAAGAAAAAAAAAAGTTCATACTCTCAACCATTTTGTTCTGCTGCCTCTCTAATTAATTACAATACAATTAAACTAGAAACCAATAACAAAAATATACCCCTTTTCTTCCACATCTGTAGATGACAAAGTATATTTCTACTTTTTGTTTTCATCCCCCATCTGAAAAAGTATATTTCTAAATAATTCATAGATCAAAGAAAAAACAAAAATTGAATTTAAAAAATTCCTACAACTGAACCTAATACATATGAAAACTTGTGGAAGATAAATATTTCAAAGGAAAGTATAGCTTTAAATAAATATACAAGGAAAGAAGAAAGGCTGAATGATATTCTAGGGAATTTGAAAGTGAGGTATAGGAACAGAAAATCAGTGGTGACCTGGCGGTGACAGTGGGGTAGGGACAAGCAGGAGGGAGGGATTACAGAGAGACACAGATCGTTTTAGAGGGTGTGTTCATTATTGCCTGTGCTGATGGTTTCACAGGCATCTACATATGTCAAAATTTATGAAATTATACTCTTTAAACAGATTATTTTATGTTAATTATATCTCAATAAAGTTGTTTTTAAATGTGCCCATGGTCTTTTGTAATGCTTTAAACAGTTTTTTAAACATTATGAGTGTAAAGATGAAACATAAAAGATGTGTGTATAAGATGAAATGTAAAATGCATTCCCCACCTGCAACTACCAAGATCTTTGAAGTCTCCTGGAAGGACCTCCCAAGCAGTTCCATGTTCCTTTCCTTGAAGAGGTAATAACTGTTCTGAATTTTGTATTTATCATTCCATTACTTTTTCTTTTAGTTTTACTGCATATGTGTACATTTTTAAACACTATATTGTTAAAATATATAAACTCTTAGAATATATACACACATGCATCACATAGTATCATACTATATATATTTTGCAATTTGTTTTTACAATCCAACATTAAGCTTTTGAGATTTAACCATGCTGATATGTAAAGTGAAGTCACCTGTTTTAAGAAATGGTAACATTATGATGTTAAGTTAATTTGCTTTACCATAATTATAAATGAGGTTTGGTATATTTTTATATGCATATTGGCTGTTTATATCTTCTCTTCTATAAAAGGCCAATTTGTGCCTTTTGTCCATTTTTCTAGTAGACTGTTTCTCTTTGTTATTCATTTCTAAGTTTGTTTTGTATATTTTCCATTCTTTGGTCAGTTATATATGTTGCAAAGATATTTTCCCAGCATTTGACTTGACTTTTCACATTTAGTGGCCTTTGAAGAATAAAGTTTTACTTTTTAAATCTTTTTCTTCTTAGTTATGATTTTTAGGGTCTTATTTTAAGAAATCCTTACTTACCCAAAGTTCAAAATTTCTAAAAATGCAGAGAAACTTAATCACTCATCCTTTGCTGGTAGGAATGTAAAGTGATACAACCACTCTAGAAAAGAGTGTTATAGTTTCTTTAAAAACTAAACATGCAATTACCATACAATCCAGCAGTTGCACTTCTAGGCATTTATTCCTGAAGGCTTGTGTCCACACAAAACCCTGTACACAAATGTCTATAGCAATTTTACACATAATAGCCAAAAACTACAAACAACCCAGTTGTCCTCCAACAGGTGAATGGTTAAACCATGGTACATCCATACCACGGAACATCAATAAAAAGGAATAGGCTATTGATACATGCAACAACCTGAACGGATCTCCAGAGAACTACACTGAGTGAAAAAGCCAGTCCCAAAAGGTTATATCCATATGGTTTGATTTATACAACATTTTTGAAATGGCAAATTTATAGAAATGGAGAACAGATTAATGGTTGTTGGAGTTTGGAGGGTGGGGAGAGAGGCGGTTGTGGTTATAAAAGTGTGACACAGCGGTGTGCGGTGCTGCACACCTGTAATTTCTAGCTCTTCTGGGAGGCGAGGCAGGAGGAGATCGCTCAAGGTCAGGAGTTCGAAAACCAAGCCTGAAGCAAGGCTGCTTCAATGCAATGAGTGTGAATCAGACCATCTGGGCACTTTTTATTTTATTTTAGTTTTTCTGAGACCAGAGTCTCACTTTGTTGCCCAGGCTAGAGTGAGTTGGCCGTGGCGTCAGCCTGGCTCACAGCAACCTCGAATCTCCTGGCTCAGCGATCCTCTGCCTCAGCCTCCGGAGTAGCTGGGACTACAGGCATGCACGCACCATGCCCGGACTAATTTTTGGCTATATATTATTTTTAGTTGGTCAATCAAGTTTCTTTCTATTGTCGTGTGTTTTTGTATGTGAGCGGGACGGGGTGCTCGCTCAGGCTGGTTTGAACCTCTGACCTTGTTGACGCCAATCCGCCCGCTCTGGCCTCTCAAAGTTGCTACGATTACAGGCGTGAGCCACCGGCGCCCAGCCTCCCATCTGGGCATCTTGTAAACACACCAGGCACCCAACTCACTAATCAGAGGTGGAAGTGTGTGTATGTGTGCAGGTATTTTCAAAGAGCTGCAATCAGGAATGGATCTTTTTGGTAACTACCCGCTGCTTGATGGCCCCAGGGCTGTAGGCTTTCGGAGACATTAGATAAGGAAGGCTAAGTAGGAGAGTTCTATTTTAGGAGGATGGCAAAATAAAGGATTCCACTGGGGAGAAACTGGATAAAGGACACCTTATCAAGAGGCTTTTGCAGTAGCACAAACAAGGAATGACGCATATCTGTGCTATGGTGCTAGCTGGGGGGATCTGTTAGATTTATGTATTAAAAATGGAGCTTAACTTCTCAATTGAGCTTCATAACTCAATATTGATGATAATTCCTAACATCCACAGTAAAGGATATGTTTCTAGGTCTGCAACAAAATTACTGCATGTTTTTGCCTTCCAAAATTAGTAGGAGTCCCCACCACCATTCCTTTCCCAGTGGTCCAGCACTTTCCCTGAGGCACACTTAGTTTCACAAGGATGTGATAAGGCTGTTATCAATGACTTCACCTGCCCCATCCCTCAGGTCCTCCATTTTCTCGGAAAGGTACTTGGAACACAGATGTAAAACCGCTCATCTATAGCCGGGCATGGTGGCGCATGCCTATAGTCCCAGCTACTCCGGAGGCCGAGGCAGAAGGATTGCTTGAGCCCAGGAGTTTGAGGTTGCTGTGAGCTAGGCTGAAGCCATGGCACTCACTCTAGCCTGGGCAATAAAGCGAAACTCTGTCTCAAAATAAATAAATAAATAAAAATAAATAAATAAAACCGCTCATCTAGACGGGCCTGCCAATAGGTACTTCTCCCTTGGTCTTGGCCCAACTTGCTGCCTACCTGGAGCCCAGAGGCATACCTGGGCAGGGACAGAGCAGGACACTCTGCTGTGACCTCCCTGGCCACAGCCTCACTAAGGAGTGGTCACCTGACACGAGCAGTATTCAAAACCAGGAACCAAGGTGTGGTCCGAGCTCCTTTAAGCTCAAGGGTTTGGGGGCTCCTGGTGAGTCCCCAGAGAAGAGTCCAGAAAGGAGAATGGAAGTGGGGTGGTCTGCAAGGCAGGGAGTCCTCCTCTGTCTCACTGTCAGCCTTCTGCTTCAAGGTAAGATGGGGCAAGAACAGGGGAAGATGGGAACACTGTTCTGGGCAACATCCAGAAAAACTTCTCATTCTCCAGAGCTGCAGAACAGCCAGAACCGAGGGGTTAAAATTCTCTGTAGTATCCATGTTTTGGCTTTCCTTTAGGGGCAGATGAAAAACCCTTTTGACTGGTCAGTACACACAGCCCCCCTCTCATATGCCTGCAAAGACATCTATCAAATTGTCTGTCCTTCCTTTTTGCCACCTGTCCAATTCCACCCTTATATATAATGTCCAACTTTTCCTTTTTTACCAAGATGCAGTAACTATGAACAGGGTAGCTTGGGGATTGTTGACAATAACCTAACTGCTCTCCCCTGTCACTTGGGAAGATCTTGTGCTGGAGGAAAAGAACAACATTTGCTTCCCATGGGGTATGTTTGTCTCTGGTTTGGGGGTGACCCCTGTGAGACAGTTGGCATGGAAATACAGTGGAGGAGGCCTGGGAGAGGACTTGCTGGGGGACAGTTACAGGGACAATCTTTATGTAGTCATCAGGGGTGAGGAAGACGGCAGGGATTTTACGTTTCAATGTATGGTTCCACCAACCCCATGGGGGTTGTTTTGGGGGATCTTCTTGATATGGTGATGATGAAAATGGCTCCCACAGACCTGAGAGGAAGTCACTGAATTCAAGAAGGGTACAGATTACAGCACATGGTAAGTCGTCAATAAATTCATATCAGATACAACATTCCTTAAGTCCTCACATATTTTATGTCACATTTATGTTTACTTCTCTCTAAATTTCCCTTTCAGGAAACAGAAAAACTTGCAAGTGAGAAGGAAAAATTAAGAACAAAAAAAACACTTTAGGGGAAATTTTGTTCAGCGACTATGAGGAAGAATCATGATACAGCTAGAGAGAAAAAAGTATGGTCAGACAAAGACCAAAACTTTAGGGTTGTATAAAATAAGACTCCCTGGAGGGGCTGTTTGCATACGAATTTGGATAAGTTTATACGGGAGCAAAAACACAGGAAGGAAGATCTGAGATCTGACCCAGCTCACCACATCAGCTTCCGCCATTTGCCTACCTGCCCAGCCATTCTCCCTGCCCTGGCAGGAAGGAAATCTTGGCCCAGGGAAGAGGGGTTCACATGCCTCTCTCTCCCAGTGTCCACATTTTCCTTCTCTGCAGAGAGGTTCTCAGGCCCCAGCCCTGGTACCTCTCTCCCGTGGGAAACACAGAAGCCCTGTTCCCGTCTCACAAGGCATCTGCTCTCTCCAGGAAGGGCAAACACCACTTTCACCATCAATTGCTCAGGCTTCCACCAGGATGGGGTAGACCCCGCTGCCTTCCAGGCCATATTTAACCAGAAGGCCTTCCGTCCGGTCACCAACTATAGCATCCCCACTCACGTCAACATCTCCTTCACCCTGTCTGCCATCCTGGAAGTAGTAAGTTCTCACTCCTACATCCTTTCCATTGATTTCTAATAAGGAACAAGGACTCTTGACATTGTCAGTTCAACATTGTCCTGGTCCCATGATGAGCAATGAGTCCCCTGAATGGATTTTGTATGAGTCATATGTCCATCCTGTGGAGTGGGGAAGCATGCATGAAAATGCTGCAGTAACATTCTCCAGGGAACATGAGTCCTGCCCTTGTGGAAATATTCTACAAAAAATGCATTCCCAGGGGATCCCCATACCATTTCTGCACCTACATTTTCCATGCAACCTGCATTTTCCTGACCTATCTTTCTTTTGTGACTTGTGATTGAAAAGGTAAACTGTCACTTGGGATGACTTAGAAAACAATGGCAGGAGGTAGACTAGGTCCTGATTTCATGCCACTAATGATCCTGCATAGGATTTTTTTTTTTTTTTTTACAGGATGCACAACTTCAGCTGCTGACATCGTTTCTATGGTTCAATATGGTATGTGAGATTCAGCTTCTTCCTTCTCTCTTTCTCCTTCCCTTTTTTCTGGTTTTGCTTGCAAAAATTACATTTATTGAAATTAACAGTGCCCGAGGGAATAGATAAATCCAACCAGAATGGGGCCAGTGCTGGTGACAAATAACTTCCGAGGCTGCCAATCAACTTTGAAAGGCACAGATGGAAAACACCGGGAGAAAGAGGGGCGTCCAGGCGGAAGCCCCTAAGTGAGCTTCAGGGCTCAAATATATCCAGCATCCAGCTGAAGGTTTCCCTTGAGTGGGAAATAAAGGCCAATAAGACGTTGCTAGCTAGAGAAAGGGAGAAGAGAAATCAGAATTTAAAAGGAAATGAGATCAAAAAAGCAACATGCATAACAATGTACTTAGTCTCATTCTGTGTAAATAAAAATGAATGCTGGAATGTGCATTAATTTCTTTTTCCAGAATGATACACAAGAAACTGTTAATAATGAGACTGAGGTAGGATAGGGACTGAATTGAGGTGAATCAAGCATGGAAAACATTGCTTTTTATATCATACCTTTCTGGAATGGCTGGTGTTTTATCATATGCTCATAGTACACATATTTAGAAAAAAATACATACATTTACCTACTTATTTATTTATGAGGGAATGAAAGGGCAGGAGATGCTGACTAAACTAGCTCCAGGCTTCAGCCATAACTCGTCCCTCTGTGTTCCATGCTCTAGATCTGGGCTAACCCTTTCATCAGCTGGGACCCGGAAGAATGTGATAATGTCAATAAACTCACTGTGACAACGGAGAACCTGTGGCTGCCAGACATCTTCATCGTGGAATCGTGGGTATCAGGGCTGGGGAAGCTGGAGGGAAGCCCTGTCTGCAAGGGACAGGCCAGGGCAGTGCAGGGAAATCCATTTGGTGGGGCAACTAAACACTTATTTCAGAGAGAAGCAAGATCACGGCTGACCAACTTTTTCCCTAGAAATGGGAAAATAGTCAGCAGAAAAGATGGCATAGTGACCTTAATGAGACCTGTCTTACAAAAGAAAACTAACCTGTTGTAAAACCCAGGGCACATGCCTCTCTCCCCTTTTGCCACTTAGCATGAATGTGGATCAGACCCCAGAAGGCCTCTCTGCATATGTGACTAGTGACGGTCGCATTGCATATAGCAAGCCAATGCGGGTGACCAGCATCTGTAATCTGGACATCTTCTACTTCCCCTTTGACCAGCAGAACTGCACACTCACCTTTAGCTCTTTCCTCTACACAGGTAAGTTGCAGTAGAGGTTCTGGGATGAAGTAAATGAGATCAACTGGTGGGGCAGCAAAGAAGCACACGTAGGCAAACTCATTTTTTTAAATACATAAACAGGGACAGGGGATATTTGCTGACTGGGGACATGTGGATGGTTGGGTGGGGGAGTTGAACTTGGGAGGGTGTGAGACTTCCTCAGAAAACCCAGCATAGAAAGGGGGCAATTGAGCAGGCCAGGCACGGTGGCTCAGGCCTGTAATCCTAGCACTCTGGGAGGCTGAGGAGAAGATAATTGAGGTCAGGAGTTCAAGACCAATGTGAGCAAGAGCAAGACCCCATCTCTACTAAATATAGAAAAACTAGTTGGGCATTTGTGGCATACACCTGTAGTCTCAGCTACTCAGGAGGCTGAGGCAAGAGGATCTCTTGAGCCCAGGAGTGTGAGGTTGCTGTGAGCTATGATGATGCCACGGCACTCTAGCCCGGGCAACAGTGTGAGACTCTGTCTCACAAAAAAGAAAGGAAGGAAGGAAGGAAGAGGAAAGGAGGCAATTGAGAGCAAGGAAGTCACTTTATTGGGCAATTTGGAGAAGGTAGCTAAGGTGGTTTGTTAAGTCATCACTCTAAGCCCCGCACAGAGTAGGTGCTGGGCAGATTTGTGTTGACTACGTGTTTGTCTCCCCTGCAGTGGACAGCATGTTGCTGGGCATGGAAAAGGAAGTGTGGGAGATAAAAGATACTTCACAGGACGTCGTCCGCACACAAGGGGAGTGGGAGTTCCTGGGCATCAGCAAGGCCACTCCAAGGATGGTCGTGGGCTCCAGTCTTTTTGACCAGATCATGTTCTATGTGAGCCCAGGATCCTCGCATAGATGTCCTCTGCATGCTCCCACCACCACCTCCCTCACCAGACCTGTCTGAGTCCCAGAGCCAGAGCCTCTTACTTCTTGCCCCAGACCAGAAAGCCCCTGGGCACCATAACCCTCACAGCCTTCCTCTCTCCAAGTCTCCAAAAGCATCTGCCCTTTCTGATCCTGCCAGCTCTGGCCTAGGGTTTCTTTTATTAGCATTGGGGAGTCTTGTCGGTCACATGAAAGCTATTCCTCCAGCCCTGGAAAGAGCCCTTGCTGGGGTGAGGACACCAAGGAAGGAAGAGGCTAGAACCATCCCTCTGACTCTCTTCAGTCCTAGCTTCACCCAGTTCTCTGCTCTCTCCCCACCAGGTGGCCATCAGGCGCAAGCCCAACCTCTATGTGATAAACCTCCTGGTGCCCAGTGGCTTTCTCATGGCCATCGACGCCCTCAGCTTCTACCTGCCTGCAGAGAGTGGGAATCGCGCCCCATTCAAGATAACCCTGCTGCTGGGCTACAACGTCTTCCTGCTCATGATGAATAAACTACTCCCTTCTAGTGGCACCCCACTCATCAGTATGCCCCCTCCCACAGTGGGAAAATGAAACAAGAAAAAAATATGTAGGAGAGGCGGGGCACACAGGTGCCCCGGCTAGACCTGCTGAGGCTGCTGAGGCAGAAGGGAGAACCAAGGCACCTAGAAAGGGCTGTCTGTGTGAGACACAGAAAAGGGGGGCTCGCTGGTAACTGCGGACCTGCTTCAGACCTGCTCCTTACTGCCACCCCAGGTGTCTACTTTGCCCTGTGCCTGTCACTGATGGTGCTCAGCCTGCTGGAGACCGTCTTCATCACCTACCTGCTGCACCTGGCCACCACCCAGCCCCCACCCATGCCGGGGTGGCTCCACTCCCTGCTGCTGCACTGCACCTGCCCAAGGAAATGCTGCCCCACTGCGTCCCACAAGGGGAACAAGGGCCTGGGTCTGCCCCCCGCCCAGCTGCCTGGTGAGGGAAGTCGGCCCCCCACACTTGCTCTTCCCACACCCCCACTTCTCTGCCCCTCCCTCCCTGGGCAGGTGACCTTCACAGCCCAGAGCTGAGTCTCTGTCCTTTCCACAGGCCTGAAGGAGCCAGTAGAGTTGGTGGAGAAGTCGCCAGGCCCCGGAGAGGCAGAGGTGGCTGGGGGCTTAGGATGGACAAGGGCCCAGCGGGAGCAGGAGGCCCAGAAGCAGCACAGGGTGGAGCTGTGGGTGCAGTTCAGCCACATGATGGACACCCTGCTCTTCCGCCTCTACCTGCTCTTCTTGGCCTCCTCTATCCTCACCGTCATCGGCCTCTGGAGCACCTAGGCACTGAGTTCTGATGGTGCAAGAGCACCAGTGTTCAGTTTCCCTCAGCCTCAACTGGCATTGCCAGACACTGCTCCTCTGCTGCAATCTGGGAGCGCAGTCCCAGATATGCCATGATCCCCGCTCCAGCCCTGCCTGCACTTAAATAGAACCACTGCCAGCACTCCCAGAAATGAGACTCTATTTCCAGAATAGAATGAGTTCAGAATATACAGGTTCATGTTGGAAATGCAATCTTTACTGGAAAAGGAAGGATTTATAATAAATGACTACAGATATTTATCAGAAAAGCAACTCATGTTACTGGTGTAGAGAAAAGGGATTAAACCTCTTTTTTTGGAAACGGGCTAACATATGTTATTTCCTTTTAACAAATGTTTATTGAGCACCTACTATGTGTGAGGCACTGTTCTGGATGCTGAAGATACAGCAATGAACTAAACTGACAAAAACTTTCATCCTCATGGAGCTCACTTGGAGAGGAGGGAGAAGAGACCGACAATAAAGAAGATAAATAAGTGAAACATAATGTGTGTGCTCAGAGGGAAAGGAGAAGGGAGAATACGAAACAGGGGAGGGGCTGGCAGTTTAGGTTGTGTGGCAGGACAAGGGTCAGATGCATTATTTCACAACACCCCAGGAGAGGGTACGTAACTTGCTTGAGGTCATTGAGCTCTTTTTTAAGGACTTATTGTTATTTTTTTGTAGTTTTTTTCTTAGAGCTAGGCTTCAGACATGCATTTAACAAATGTTTATTGGGAGGAAGGAGACAGACACAGGATGGAAGGAAGTGAGAGGGAGGTGGGGCTCCCAGGTCTTCCCAGTGTTGGGGGAGGGGGATAAGGGCCAGGAGAGCCCTGGGTGCCTCACCCTGGGCAGGGCAGGGCAGGATACAGCCAGCCCCAGGGCCAGAGGCGGGAGGACCATCTGTCCCCTTGCTGCCCTCTGCCCATAGCACAGCCTTCTGTCTCTCCAGGGCTCTTGTTGGGTATGTCTCCTGATGCCCGTAGTTTTGCTCATGGCACTTTATAGGTTCCATGGAGAAGTCAGGTGGACTATCTCCTAGGGCCTCTCCAACAGCCTCTCCCGGGTTGTCACTGGCCTTCCCCACTCCCAACTCTCCTGAGTCATATGCTGAGCTATCTAAAGGGATAATGGCTTCCCCAGGAGTGGTGGGTGAGGGTGTCAATATCCTAGAACTCCCTTATCTCAACTCAGTGACTTGGGATAAAGTTCTGTTCATATTATTTCCACCTACTTCTTTCTTCAGAGTCACTTTCAAGTTCAGAATAAATAAGCCTTGAAGTTAAAAAAAAAACAAAAACAAATGTTTATCAAGATCAGAGGGTATGTTACTTGCCTAAGGTTATACAGCTCTCTTTAGGACTTTTTTTCTTTTGTAGTTCTCTTTTATGGCTAAGCTTCAGATATACAGTTAACAAATGTTTATTGGGCACAGGGGATAGATAGATAGATAGATAGTAAGAACAAATGCCCTTGGCTAAGGGCATTTGGAGATTTGAGGATGAATCAAACATAAGCTTTGTCCTCAAAGAGCTTGTAGCCTAGCAGGAGAAATAAAACATATTACTATATGTTAAATAACTTCAATTAAATGTAGAACATGTTTTTAAAGTTCTGTTGAGTGACACTGAAGGGAAAATGCTATAATGCTGGTGGGGGGCGGCACACAGGGGGAGGATGCTTAAGAACCCTGGAACAAGGGTTCTTAATCCTGGCAGCACATTAGAATCATATGAGGAGCTTTTTAAATAATCCTACTGCCTAGGTCTCACCCCAAACCAATTAAAGCAGAACCTTTAGCATGGGCCCAGGCTTTGGTATGTTTGAAAACTCCCTAGAAATCCTCATGTCTGCTTGAAGGCAAGAGTGTTGTGATTTTCACAGAGATTACAGGATTTTAGTAGAATGCCAAATTTGAATCCTGAGGATTTTAGCAGGTTGTCAGAAGTGGTCCTTAGTGATTTATAAAATTGAAAGAAAAACCTGAAAAAAAGGACTTGGATTTGTCAGTCCTTTGGGAGGTCCTCACCACCCCTAGTGGAGCCTCCACTGAAACCCTGCTGAGGTCATTAGTAACCTTATGGTATATGCAAAAGAGCACCCTGTGTATATTAATAGTATACCTACACTACCCACACTTCCCCAACTAAAATTTGGACATGTTGTCAGATTCCTTTTCTGATTTATAAAATAATTTATATAAACAGACTTATAAAAATCTATAAATAAAACCACATTCGTAGACTTACCGAATTGTCTTTATTATAAAAACAAAGTTACAGGAAAAGAAACATAAAAGTCTCAAAGAAATCAAGGACTACATAGCAATAGTATGCACCTGAGATTTTCATCATTGATCTACTGTTGAAGTTGATGAGTTGATGAAATGTAATTTCACTTGTCCTTACTGAGCAAGTATTCTGTTTGTTCAAATATTAAGAGGCCTGGAGTGAAGCAGAGGTGTGATGGCTTCTGCAGGTTTTCATGAAAGGTTAATTTAGGCCTCTTCCTACTGGTTTGGACTACAAAGGTTATTTATTTTTTATTTTTTGAGACAGAGTCCCACTCTGTTGCCTGGGCTAGAGTGCCGTGGCATCAGCTTACCTCACAGCAAACTCAAATTCTTGGACTCAAGTGATTCTCCTGCCTCAGCCTCCCGAGTAGCTGGGACTACAGGCATGCACTACCATGCCTGGCTACATTTTTCTATATATTTTTAGTTTGTCCAATTAATTTCTTTCTATTTTTAGTAGAGACGGAGTCTTGCTCTTGCTCAGGCTGGTCTCGAACTCCTGACCTTGAGCGATCCACCCGCCTGGGCCTCCCAGAGTGCTAGGATTACAGGCGTGAGCCACTGCGCCCGGCCAGAAAAGTTAATTTGATAATAATAATAATAGACAAATTTACTGGGAGTAGCTTTCTATAGGCAGCCATTACATTCATTATCTTCTTTGATTCTTTTTTTTTTTTTTTTTTTTTTTTTGAGACAGGAGTCTCACTTTGCTTACCCAGGCCTACAGGTGGAGCTGGCGCATGGGCGTCAGCCCTAGGCCTCACCAGCAACCTCAAACTCCTGGCTCAACAATCTGCTGCCTCAGCCTCCGGGTATGCGGATACCAGGATGTGCCAACCGACGCCGCCCCTAATTTTTTTCTATATATATATTGGCGCATTAATTCTCTTTCTATTTATAGTAGAGACGGGGTCTTGCTCTTGCTCAGGCTGGTTTCAAACTCCTGACCTCGAGCAATACGCCCGCCTTGGCCTCCCAGATCTCATTTGATTCTGACAGCAATTCTATGAGGTAGATACCAATATTATTCCCACTTTACAGATGAGAACACCAAAGTAGAAACAGGTCAACATCCTTCCCAGGATCACATAGTAAGTGGTAGAAGCAGAATTTGAACTCAAATTTGTCAAACTCTTAATCCCATGTTTTAACATATCCAGGCTATTGCCAAGGAGTGCAGAAATAATAATTCCTAAATATGAAAAATTAAATGTAATACTCTAAATTTAGAATGATCCCCACCAAAGAAATCCCACCTCATTCTCAACTTGATAATTCTTTTTTTTTGTTTTTGTTTTTTTTGAGCGCACATGAGTGTTTGCTTTGTGTGTCCAGGCTAAGTGAGTGGCCGTGGCGCTTCAGACCTACGCTCACAGCACCTCTAAACCTCTGGGCTCAAGCGACTCCTCCCTGCCTCAGCCTCCCGAAGTACTGGGACTACAGGCAGTGGCCCACCATGCCCCCGGCCTTAATTTTTTAATAATATATCATCAGTTGGCCAAATTAATTTCTTTCTATTTATAGTAGAAGACGGGGTCTCACTCTTGGCTCCAGGCGGCGCTGCGTTTTCGGAACTCTGCCCTTGAGCAATCCGCCCGCCCTCGGCCTACCCCAAACGAGCCCTTAGGATTAACGCAGGGCGTGAGCCCAACCAGCGCTCCGGCGGCCCCTCCAACTTGATAATTCTTAACCTCAGAGTGTCAGTCTTCACTGTGGCTACCAGGAGCCTTTGGACTAACCTGTCTTCCCCAACTCTCACAATTTCCTGGCCTATCACAAGAACCCTGGGAAACTGGCTTGTTTGCACACACAAATAAATGCATGTATAACTGGTAAGATCTGAATAGACTCTATGGAATGTACTGCTGAAAAAACAATTTTCAGAAAAAGAGAAGATCACTATTTTCATTCAAATAAAAAAAAAAAAGCGAGGCCAGGCATGGTGGCTCACATCTGTAATCCTAGCATTTTGAGAGGCCAAGGTGGGAGGATCGCTTGAGCCCAAGAGTTTGAGACCTGTCTGAGCAACATAGCGAGACCCTGTCTTTACAGAAATAAGAAAATTAGCCAGGCATGGAGGCACACACCAGTAGTCTCAATTACTCAGGAAGCTGAGGCAGGAGGATTGCTTGAGCCCAGGAGTTGGAGATTGCCATGAGTTATGATGATGCCACTGCACTCTAGGCAACAAAGTGAGACCTTGTCTCAAAAAAATGTATATATATAAAAAAGGAACATGTTAAAGTATTGGGTCATAGAATATGGGAGAACCAGGCAGGTGTTATAAAATGTTCAAAGGAAAAGTCAAGAAGCACGAATTCACAAAGATATCAAATTGCAAATGGAAGAAAAAGTGCTTTTTCCACAGGCGGGAAGGAACTCTACAAGATGAGATAGAGTTTGCATATTGACAATGTTGAACTTTGCTTGAGTTCTGTGTTCCCAGAAAACACCAATGTTTAAGAAATCCTCCCAACCTTTCGTGCTCTGGGAAATGGATTACTGAAAAGAACCAGCCTCCCCATATAAATAGACAAGACTCACTGTCTATTCTTCTTCATGGTTCCCGTTGGACTCATACATAGGTGACACTGTTGACCTTTACCAAACCAAACACGGACTTTTCCCCTGTTGCCTGAATTTGCCAACAAGGCCAGACATAGACCTTCTATCTCTATTCTTTGTCACATGCATAATTAGCTGAGATTAGAACTGTTTTTCCTCTGAAACTACCTAGACACAGAGGTCAACATTTCCTGTTGAGGTAACTGACTGAGACTTCCCCTGATTGCAAAACAATCCCAACTATAAATCACCCCACCTATAACTTGCCTCCTCCTCCCTATAAAATTCTAAGACAAAGCCCTGCCAAGATACTCTGATGGTCGGATCTGGGTGATCTCCTTATTCCTTAAATAGCCAGAAAATAGAACATTACAATAATATCAACAATATTTCCAACAAAAACTACAATCATACTTCCTTAGTTCATTCAGTCCTATGTAATCGATTCTTGTTCCACTGGATCTTGGGTTAACGGTGTCATGAACTCATTGGCTTCTCAACTGTTGTTCTAGAAATCCTCAGTTCACTCGGATGGTTTCAAAGTTGTTTAAGCAGTGCAGTCAGATACTATGGCCAAAGCATCTGGCATAGTCCTTTCCCACAGGATTCTGAGACACTCTTTTGTTGAAGACAAAGCAATCTGGCCTGTAGTTAAACCATTAAACTTTCAGGGAAGCATCAGAGTAAAACTAAAAACTGTAGTTGACAAAAGACTTAAAATTGTTATGTTAGCTTACTCACTTATAACTTATAATTTTCAAAAGTGAAAGATCTGATGAGAACTCATTACAAGAATTATGGAACTGACATGGGAATTTGGTTGTTTCTGTGGAAAGGAAAACAAGGTAACAAAGTCAATCCAAAGAAAGCTTTAGAAAAATAATTGTAAGTATGATAACTATATTTTCAGGAGAAGACAATGAACACTACATCCAATTCATAAAAAAGGATGAACATATCTTTAGAAAAATATTAAGAAATAACATACAATAATCCATGACACTTAACAATATAGCGAATATATCATGATAATTAACCAAGCATTATAGTAGGATACACCAAGAACAATATCTTATATAAAGAAATATCAAGTAAAGAAATTCAATTAGTCCTGAGTAATTGTGTATTAATAAAACTACATAGGTAAGTGATTTGAATTCTTAGAAGACTCTAGATTCAAATTGAAAAACAAAAAATGTGACCATGTTAACATTAAAAAATCACTAAAATTATAACCAAAGGCTCCAACCACACATCCAGAGATCTGCTGCCCTCTCCTGGAGGCCGATACCCCAATTCAGTTCTGGCTCAAAGTAAAGGGATACACGCAGAATGACTAGACTCACTTTTTCTTTTGCTTCCTTCTTTGTTTCTTTTCTTCCTTTCTTTTAACTTTTTTTATTTTAAAATGATTTAAAATTTACATAAAATTTGTAAAAATTGCACAAAGATCCCCTGTGTACTCTTTTTTTTTTTTTGAGGACAGAGTTCCTCACTTTGTTGTCCAGGCTAGAGTGAGACTGCCATGGCGGTCAGGCCTGAGCTCACCAGCAACCTCAATCTCCTGGGCTCAAGCAATTCCTCCTGCCTCAGCCTCCAGTAGTAGCTGGGACTGACAGGCATGCGCCACCCTGATGCCCGGGCTAATTATTTCTATAATATGAATTAGTTGGCCAACGTTAATTTCTTTCATTTTATAGTAGAGACCGGGGGTGGGGGGGGTGTCTCATTCTTGCTCAGGGCTGGTTCGGAACTCCTGACCGTAGAGCATCCGCCCGCCTCGGCCTCCCAGAGTGCTGGGATTACAGGCGTGAGCCAGCCACCCCTGTGTACTCTTCACTCCAATTTCCCAATTGTGGATATTTCTAAATCATTGAAAATAAGTTGCAGAGTTGATGATCTATTAACCCTGAATAATTCAGTGCATATAAGACACTATCCTATTAATGTATAAGCACAGTGCAACCGTCAAAATCAGAGAATTAATATCAATCCAATGTACTGTCAAATCTATAAGCCCTATTCAAATGTTGACAATTGTCCCAATAATGTTTTTTATAGGTTCAAGATCCAATCGAGGATCAAATCCAGGCATTTAGCTGTTTTATCTCTTTAGTCTCTTTCAATGTGGAACAGTTCCTTGGTCTTTCCTTGTCTTTCATTACCTGGGTATTTTGAAGGGTATAAGCCAGTTATTTTGTAGTTATTTTATCCCTCAGTCTGGGCTTGTCTATAACTTTCTCATGATTTGTGTATTTTTGGTAGGAATACCCTAGAAATGGAGCTGGATTCTTCTCAGTGCATCAGCAGTAAATTTTGGATTTTTTAGAATACTGACACTAATTTCTACAAGTTTGCTGTGCTGCCATACACAAGTCAAGAAATTAAAAGACACCATTAAATATTTAGGAACATTCAATATCAAAAGTTAACTGTAGGTAGTAGCCCCTCAAAAAACTACAATCTGTATTTTTTTTTTTTTTTCTGATCCATGAGCTCTGGGACAATCTGTATTTTTTAAAAAGTATTTTCTCTACAAAGAATCTTATCAGCTATACAAAAATCAGTACAGTTTTTATACTGAAGCTAATATTGAGCTGCACTTCAATTTATATTCCTTGTTTTGCTCAGCAAAACAACCACCTGAGCACACACAGACACTCCACACACATCATTACAGTGTAGCCATTTATTCTTCATCTTCTCCTGTTCCTCGTCATCTTCATCATCTTCCTCCTCCCGCTCCTCATCTTCTGATTCATGCTTCTTCTCTGAGCCTATTGGCCTGCCGGGGCCTTTCTTTCCTGCTTCCCTTTTGCCCTTGGCCCCAGAATGCAACAATATCCTTTTCAGATTTCTCCTTTGGCTTAGCTACTTTCTGTTCATAGGGTTGTTTATCTTTGGCTGACTGTTCAGGGCACATCTCGCCCAGTTTTTTTTTTGCAGTATCCCCAATAGGTAGGTCCGGGGGTTCACTTTTGATCTTTGGACAATGTATAGAACAAAACAGAAAGAAGGCAGATGGGGCCCTTCTGGGAGCATGGGGATCTTTTTTCTTTCCTTTCTTATCACCTTTGGGAGGAACATAATTTTCATCTCCCTGTAAGTTTTCTCACTTTTTTCCTTATCTTCAAACTTCAGCCTTTTATTTGCAGACATGGTCTTCCATCTCTCCAAACATTTCTTAGAGAATTTGGCAAAACCGATAGAAGGGTGTGGGCATTTCTTCTTGTGCTCTTGCTGGCAAGTCTGCACAAAGCAGGCATATGAGGAAATTTTGCCCCTCAGTTTGTTGGAGTGTCCTTGACCCATGATGACAGAATGGCATCTACCTGGTATGAGCTTTTCCTCGGAGTCCTGCAGAGTGGCCGGGTCCAACAGAGAGGCTTCCTTCCCAGGGCTCTGGTGTGAATTGGTTTGACAGGTGGATGTTTGAAAGAACCAAATAAAACTTCTAGAAATGGAAAATATAATCACTGAAACTAAAAACTCAATGGACAGATTATATTTGTGGGTTTTTTGTTTGTTTGTTTGTTTGTTTTTTTGAGACAGAGTCTCGCTTTGTTGCCCAGGCTAGAGTGAGTGCCGTGGCGTCAGCCTAGCTCACAGCAACCTCAAACTCCTGGGCTCGAGTGATCCTTCTGCCTCAGCCTCCCGGGTAGCTGGGACTACAGGCATGCGCCACCATGTCCGGCTAATTTTATATATATATATCAGTTGGCCAATTAATTTCTTTCTATTTATAGTAGAGACGGGGTCTCGCTCTTGCTCAGGCTGGTTTCGAACTCCTGACCTTGAGCAATCCGCCCGCCTCGGCCTCCCAAGAGCTAGGATTACAGGCGTGAGCCACAGCGCCCGGCCTGTTTGTTTGTTTTAATTCTACATTCCAGCCCATCATGAATCAGTGGACAGATTAGATGGTAGTTTAAGCACAGCTGAGGACAGAATTTGTTTCCTGGCAGCTAGATCCAAGAAAATCACTAGGCACACAGATAAAGAGATAGAAAATAGGAAAGAGAAGTTAGCAGGCAAAATAATGATCTCCCCCAAAAATGTCTGTGTTCTAATCTCTAGAATCTGCAACTAATGTTAGGTTGTTTGGAAAAGGGGGAATTAAGGCTGCAGATGGAATTAAGGTTGCTAATTAGGTAACCTTCAGTTGGGGAGATTAACCTGTACTATCCAGGTAGAAAATGGACCCAATGTATAACAAGGGTCCTTATAAGTGAAAGAGAGAGAGAGAACAGAATAAGAACCAGAAAGATGAGGTAGCTGTGTAAGAAAGACTTGGCCCAATGTTTCTGGGGTTTTGGCAGGGCGAGGGGGCGTTGAGACAGGGTCTCACTCTATTGCCTGGGCTAGAATGCGGAGGCATCATCATAGTTCTTTGCAACCTCAAACTCCTGGGCTTAAGTGATCCTCCTGCCTCAGCCTCTCAAAGTGATAGGATTACATGCATAAGCCACCAAGCCTGGCTAAGCTGCTGGTTTTTAAGATGGAGGAAAGGGACAATGAACCAAGAAATGCAGGCAGTTTAAAACCTAGAAAAGGTAAGGGAATGGATTCTCCCTTAGAGCCTCCAGAAGGAATTCAGCCCTGCTGACACATTGATTTTAGCCCAGTGAGACCCAACTCAGACTTCTAGTCTACAGAACCATAAAATACTGGTAATAAAGTGTACTTCCTTAAGCCACTAGGTTTGTGACTTGTTATAATGTCAAAAAAGGCATGTAAGATAGAAGGAAACCATCTGCCATACATTTAATAGAGAAAGAATAGAAGAAACACAATGTTTTTTAAGTGGCTGAGAATTTTCCATTCTCATTGAATGGAAAGAAATTCATTGAAGAAATGAATCTTCAGATTGAGGGATCATTCAAAGATCTGAACATGATCAATATAAACTATCTATAACCATAAACATTGTAGTGAAATATCTAAGACTGAGAGAAAGTAAACTGAACCTCAAGCATAGGCAAGAATAAGACAACCAGAGCTCTCTTTCTGGGAAGGTTACAAATGTCAGTGGTCAACCAATGCTATCAGTATTCAAAGTCAGACTCTAGGTGTGGCCCATGTGTCTGTAATCTGGACATCCTGGGTCCCAGTACATGCTCAGAGAAGAATTTAGACAAAGGAGATGGAAGGAAGCTGTTTCCACAGGGAGAGATTTCCTTTCTACCTTGTTCTCAGTCTTCTGCTTCAAGGTAAGAAAGGGGCAATGACAGAGGACAAAGGAAGAACCCTCCCTGGTAGAACATCTAGGTATGTCTTTCAAATTCCCAACTCCTAGAGATTATCTGAGATGGGCATAGTTCTTTCATAACTATAATACTGTGATGCCCAGATAGACTTTCCTTCTCTGAACTATGGAAAATCCCCTTCTAATTACATGCCACACAAGAGCACTTCTATTTTTCTTCCCATGAACCATCCACAATTGTCTTCTCTTCCATTCAGCTTCTATATCCACCTATCTTTCTAGCCACAGGTATAATTCTTTCTCTGTACAGGTATGAAACTCACCTACCAGCAAAGTGCCCACATTAGCCATAACTTCTCCATCCACCTACCAAATCCAAGGGCTATAGGTTAGGTAAGATGCCAGAGGGCAACAGGTCAAGGGTGAAAAGGGAGTGTGTGCTTTTCTTCCAGTGAGCAAACATGGTAGAGTGGCTAGAACATGGGCTTTGGAGACAGACAGACCTGAGGTTGAATCTTGGTCCCTCACTTTGCTAGTTGTGTGACTAGCAACTTGGGTGAGTTGCTTAATTTCTCTGAGCTCCAGTTTCCTCATCTGTAAAATAGGACCAGCCTTGTAGAGTTGTGATGATTCAATTAGAGAAAGTGGGTAACACAGTGCCTGGCCTTTGTTAAGTGCTGATAAATGTCAGCTTTCCCGCTTAGGTTGTCACAGGACTTCAGATAAGTGGACACAGGAAAGGACTGGATGAGAGGTGACGTCAAAGGCCAGTACAGGAAAAAGACACAACTTGTACCCCTGGTCTAGGCAGTAGGAACATTTTAAAAGCTCCTCTGGGAACTTGCAGCCAGGAATTGACAAATGAATACTCAAGCGATTCAAGGCTGTGCCTGGAGAGCATTGTGACTGTGGGAATGGGTAGGGCTTGATGTCATTGGCACAGAGGCCATCAGCCATCTCTCTTATTCCAGATTGTTGCTTCTCCAACAAATCTCTACCAGTAGAAAACTCGAATTGTTATTAGTCAGAAGAGGGCGGAGGGCAACACCTCAAAAGCCTCAAACTAATAAACATGGACAATTATTATATGCACATTAAAAATAAAAATTTTTTCTAAAAAGCCTCAAACTAGAAAGCTGATAGTAGGTTTGAGCAGCAAAGTAGGGAGAAGGTTGCGACAGTCAAGATGAAAATAGGTATGTTCTCTTCAGGGCCCCAGGACAGTAATCCTATCTGATGACTATCACTGTTCCAGGGCTCAGTTTGCATACAGATTTGGGCATGCTTTGCTTGCAGACAGAAATATTAGACAGGAGGCTGGAGCCCTAAATGAGCTTACCACATTAGCTTCCATCATTTGCATTTCAGCTCACCCATCCTCCCTGCCTCGGCAGGAAGTGCCCAGCAGCTGGACGCCTCTCAGTGACGCCCTCCCCCTTCTTCATCATGGGGCAGGGGGCGCATAGCACAGCAGCAGCAACCAAACTTGGGATCAGACCAAGTCCAGCTTCTGCTTGTTTTATCTGTTTAACTTTGGGAAGTCACTCCCTCTTGTTGTATCTTAGTTAACTTGGTTATTACATGAGGATAAAAACAGTATCTCCTGATGGGGGATTGGGAGGAATAAATGGGGTACTCCATTTAAAGGGCTTACAGGGGTCCTCAAACTTTTTAAACAGGGGGCTAGTTCACTGTCAATCAGACTATTGGAAGGCCATTGGAGAGGGTGGCACATTCCACACATGCGCACTGTGGGCCCAGGACGAGTCGGCTGCTAAGCAGGACAGGCAGCGGTGGCAAAAACACCCAGCAGGCCGGTTAAATGTCCTCGGCGGGCCGCATGTGGCCTCCGGGCCATAGTTTGAGGACCCCTGGATATATCTGACACATAGTGAATGCTCAATAAATGTTATCATTATTATAATGGGCTACCCCAGGCCCTGCCCTGGGGCCCCTCTCGTATAAGGAACACACAGTTCTCCTGTTCTCTCCCTCGTCTCTCATGTCTGATGTCCACTACAGGAAGGAGCAGTACTTTCACCATCGATTGCTCAGGGTTTGAACAACATGGGGTGGATCCCGCTGCTCTGGATGTGGTGTTTGACAGAAAGGCCTTTCGTCCAGCCACCAACCTCAGCATCCCCACCCGAGTCAACATCTCCTTTACGATGTCTGCCATCAAAGACGTGGTGCGTGCTGGCCCCTCTAGTCATCCCTAGTGTCCTTAACTTTTTCCCAGCCCCTGGCAAGGTGGCCCCTAAAGCCCTTAGCCGCACTGCAGCTTCCTCCACCATTGCTATATGGCATTTGCCTGGCATGGGGATCTCAAAGAAGCTTTGTGCCATTCAGCACAAAGGTGAGGTATAACAGCACATGGAAGAGAATCTTTTCTTCTCACCCTGGCTGCATACCAGTGTCCAGGATCCACCAGAGGTTCTGTTTGGATGAAACCCAGGCATTGGTATTTGCGAGCTCTGGGTTATTCTAAGTTACAGCCAGGTTGAGAAGCACTGCTTTCCTCTAGCCCTGCGGTGAACTCCCCTGCCCGTGGCTGGACACATGTGTTTTGATCAAGCTTTTGTCCTAGACTTATAATGTTGGCCTTGATCACAGCATCCCCTTTATATACCTTGGAGGTTGGTCAATGAAAATGTGAAGGGGGGATGAAAAGACTTCTTACATGCTGGAAACAGGAAATTCTTTCGGCAGGATGAACAGCTACAGCTCTTGTCATCGTTCCTGTGGCTGGAAATGGTATGGCCAACACTTTATTCTCTCCCTTCATTTAGTGTCAGAAAGGATTTTAAACAAAGATATAATAATTAAGACTTTTTATGTACCTAACATCACTTTGGAACACATGAAGGAGAAACTGAAAACTCCACCATAATGGTGAGAGGCATCAATATACTGCTTTCAAAAGTTGAGTAGAAAAAGAATAAATGTATATAGTGATTTTTAACAGCATAACTAAGAATCTTAACCTAGACTGGGTGCAGCGGTTCATGCCTATAATCCTAGCAGTTTGGGGGGTTGAGGCAAGAGGACTGCTTGAGGCCAGGAGTTTGAGACCAGCCTCAGCAACACAGCGAGACTTCATCTCTACAAAAAATTTAAAAATTAGCTGGGCGTGGTGGTGAGTGACTGTAGTCCTAGCTACTTGGGAGGCTGAGAAAGGAGGGTCACTTGAGCCCAGGAATTCAAGGCTGTAATGAGCTATGATCACACCACTGCACTCCAGCCTAGGTGACAAAGCAAGAGCCTGTCTCAAAAAAATTTAAAAAAAAATTTTTTAAAGAAATTATGAACTTGAAATGGAGCGCATACATGTGAAAATCTACAGAATGTAGCCAAAGCATAACTCAGTGGAAAGTTTATATTTTAAGTGCATTGATTAGAAAACAAGAGGGGTTTAGGAAGAAAATGACTGGAAGCTTATTAGAAATGTACTTGAGGCAGGGTGCGGTACCTCACCTTACGCCTGTAATCCTGGCATTCTGGGAGGCCGAAGCAGGAGGATCGCTCAAAGTCAGGAGTTCAAAACCAGCCTGAGCAAGAGCGAGATCCCGTCTCTACTAAAAATAGAAGGAAATTAATTGGCCAACTAAAAATATATAGAAAAAATTAGCCGGGCATGGTGGCACACTTCTGTAGTTCCAGCTACTCAGGAGGCTGAGGCAGGAAGATCACTTGAGCCCAGGAGTTTGAGGTTGCTGTGAGCTAGGTTGACGCCACGGCACTCTAGCCCAGGCAACAGAGTGAGACTCTGTCGAAAGAAAGAAAGAAAAGAAAGAAAAGAAAGGAAAGAAAGAAAGAAAGAAAGAGAGAGAGAGAGAGAGAAAGGAAGGAAGGAAGGAAGGAAGGAAGGAAGGAAGGAAGGAAGGAAGGAAGGAACTTGATCTCAGGTCCCACCTAAGGTGACTGGCCATCCCAGCCTGTCCAAACTGAGGGTCCTCAGGTCATGGGACTTTCAATGCTAAAACCAAGAAAGTTCCTAGCAAACCAGGATAAATCAGTCACCCTACCCACTGGATCAGAATCTGCATTTCAACATGATCCCCAGGTGTTTCATATGCACAGTGAAGTTTGAGAAGCATTGATCTCATGCAAACCTTAATACCCATAGAACCTCTAATACCCATAGAACCCCCTTTTCTGGCCGTGGCTTCAAACTGCAGCTGCTGACATTAAAAGTACCTCAAGACTAGACAAGCCCACCCAGAGTTAGACAGTCCTTGAAGACATTTTCCAGAGAAAGTTACCCAGCCTTGGAAAAGAGAGCTGGTCACCACGAAGGCAAGAGAAGATAGTATCTAGCATCTGCCAAATAAGGGAAGACCACTAAGGCTCTTGGCTTCAGAGAACCCAAGGGCTTGTTCTCTCCTCAAAATAGAGACCAGTGGGAGATAATTAAGACCTTGCTAGATATTAATCCTAACATATAATAATCTCCAAACAACATTACAGTTTACAAATCCTTCTATCTGCCCTATTTCATTTATACCCACTACTACCCTTATTTCACACTGAGGAAATTCTAGCTCAGAGAGGCTGAGGTACTGATCTTTCAGCTCTAAATCTATGCCTACTATAAAAGGAAAGTATTTCCCCTGATCATCAGTAATTTCTCACTAAAGTAGAAAAGCAGAGGGGTCAAAATTTATAAAGAAATGAACACAGGAAGGTTCAATTTTATCTGTAATTATGATTACTTGGGGGAAAATACTGACTCCACAAAATTGGGAGGTAGATAAACAGATGTTATATTGTTTTATATATTTTACTATATGCTTGAAATATTCTATAACTTCCGTTTTTTTAAAGAGGAAATTGAAGGGCAGGAGAAAATAACTCCAATCCATGTCAGGCTCTCACCTCTCCTCCACCTGGCCTGTAGGTCTGGGATAACCCATTTATCAGCTGGAACCCAAAGAAGTGTAAGGGCATCACCAAGATCAGTGTGGCAACCAAGAACCTGTGGCTCCCAGACATTTTCATCGTTGAGTTGTGCGTATTGGGGGAAAGCTGGAGGGAAGTCCCATCTCCTGATATCAATGGAGATTACCATTGGGACTACCATAAGTGGTCTTTAGATGGCTAAGAAACAACCAGAGAGATAAGAGAAAAACAAGAGCACCTGCCTCCCACCTCATCTCTCTTCTAGCATGGATGTGGATAAGACCCCGCAGGGCCTCACAGCATATGTAAGTAATGATGGTCGCATCAGGTATAAGAAACCCATGAAGGTGACCAGCATCTGTAGCCTGGACATTTTCTACTTCCCTTTTGACCAACAGAACTGCACACTCACCTTCAGGTCATTCCTCTACACAGGTGAGTTGCAGTGGGGTCTCAGGGATGGGGTGAAAAATGAGATGGATAATTCAGACCTCTGCAGAGTTAAATTATAGAGTAAATAAACCATTACTAAAAAGCAATGATCCTTGAAAGTGGATGCAATGATCTTTGAAGAGTCAAACTGTAAGAAAAAATAATAGCTTTGTTCTAAAAATTTTAGACTGTATTTGCAAATTCTAATTGTTGCGGTGAAGGTAGGGAGAAGAGTGACAAAGTAAATTGTTTTTTAAAAAAGTTTTCACTTTGCTGGGGTTGGGGGAGGAATAGGCAAAACACTAAAGGGGGCACAGAATTATAATTTAGTCTTCATGTATTACTGGAAAAATATAGTTCTAATTATATCTGTTTCAAAGATTATCATGAGCAGAATTTAAGAAGCATTGCAGGATTTTGTTTTACAGGAGGAAAAAAAATGAACAGAAACTAGATCAAGTCAGCAAAAGTAAAGGAATGGAAAATAGAGGAAACAGCATCAAGGAATATACATGGTAAACATGAAATATGCAGGAGGAATAAAACCAAATGTGTCAGCTTTTTCTCTAAATGTAAACGGGGCTGCCCGCGGTGGCTCACGCCTGTAATCCTAGCACTCTGGGAGGCCGAGGTGGGCGGATTGCTCGAGGTCAGGAGTTCGAAACCAGCCTGAGCAAGAGCGAGACCCTGTCTCTACTATATATAGAAAGAAATTAATTGCCAACTAATATATATAGAAAAAACTAGCCAGGCATGGTGGCACATGCCTGTAGTCCCAGCTACTTGGGAAGCTGAGGCAGTAGTTCTAAGCTCAGGAGTTTGAGGTTGCTGTGAGCTAGGCTGACACCATGGCCACTCACTTGCAGCAATAGTAGACTCTTGTCTCAAAAAAAAAAAAAAATTGTTAAATGTAAACAGGTGAATCTATCTATCAAGAGGAAGACATTGAATTAAATAAAATCCAGCTTTTTTTTTTTTTTTTGAGACAGAGTCTTGCTTTGTTGCCTAGGCTAGAGTGAGTGCCGTGGCGTCAGCCTCGCTCACAGCAACCTCAAACTCCTGGGCTCAAGCGATCCTTCTGTCTCAGCTCCCAAGTAGCTGGGACTACAGGCATGAGCCACCATGCCCGGCTAATTTTTCTGTATATATTAGTTGGCCAATTAGTTTCTTTCTATTTATAGTAGAGACGGGGTCTCGCTCTTGCTCAGGCTGGTTTCGAACTCCCGACCTCAAGCGATCCGCCCGCCTCGGCCTCCCAGAGAGCTGGGATTACAGGCGTGAGCCACCGCGCCCGCCAAATCCAGCTTATGTTTACAAAATTGCACCAAAATAAATTGACAAGGCAAGATGGAAAATAAAGAAGTACTCTAAAAGATGCACAAAGAAAGTAACAGTGGATGCTTCTAGAGAGAATTAGGTGGCTGCAAACAAAGATAGGTACCATATGTGCCTTTTGACATTTGTACCTTGTATGTATATGACTCTGCCAAAAATTAATCAAAATTAATAAAGAGATGTGCAAAAATAATACCAGGAAAAACAAGATATGCAGCATTATGATACTAATGGAAATCATGTTCAAACACATTGAATAGAACAAATAGTGACGTTATATGAAAAAATCAGTATAATCAAGGATATATAGTAACCATATCCTTTTATGCATCATATAACATAACAATCAAATATATGTAAAAGGAAAACTACAACTACCCAGAGAACATGAATAAAATAGTTTTGAACTTTAATAGGCCAGGGGAGACAAAAAATAAGCTATGATATAGAGTTACAGTCTCTAACCCCTGGTACCAGTCTGTGGCCTGTTAGGAACCAGCCACACTGCTGCAGCCAGCAGCGAGTGGAGCTTCATCTGTGTTTACAGCTGCTCCTCACCGCTTGCATCACTGCGTGAGCTCCATCTCCTGTCAGATCAGTCACTGTCTCCCATCACCACCAGATGGGACCGTCTAATTGCAAGAAAACAAGCTCAGGGCTCCCCTGATTCTGCATTGTGGTGAGTTGTATAATTATTTAATTATATTACAATGTAATAATGATAGAATAAAGTGCAAAAAAATGTAATGTGCTTGAATCATCCTGAACCATCCCCCACCCCAAAGTCTGTGAAAAATTGTCTTCCACAAAATTGGTCCCTGTGCCAAAAAGGTTCGGGACCACTGAAGAGGACTGGCATAATGCAATCAATACGCTCTACTTAGTAGATATACATATAAATAGAGAATATATGCATTTTTAATGTCCTAAAACAAAACCTGTTACAAAACAATCATGCATTCAGCCTGACAGAAGCTTTATAAGTCCAAAAAGTTTTAAATTTAAAGACCATGCTCTCTGATCATAAACTAAAAAACTGGGAATTAATAGGAGAAGATAACAATAACAAACTCCCTTGTCTATGGACATTAAGTCAAACTCTCCCAATAGCCTTTAGATCAAAGAAGAAATAAAAGCAAATTATAAATTGTCTATGAAGTAATGAAGAGGAACACTTTATTCTAAAACCTGTGGGATATAGCTGAAGCTGTTCTCAGAGTAAATTTGTATTATAGAAAGACTGAGAATCCTTTAATGGAGAATTCAACTTGAAAAATAAGAAAAAAATAAAATGAAACGAATTGAGAGAGTATAAGATGAAATCAGTAAAGATAGTGAAAAGAATGAATCAAAAGACTCTATTAGTAAGAACATATGTTTCTAAAAACATCTAAGAGAATTAAAACTCTCAAATAGGAGAGTTGTCACCTTGGACTTAAAGTGACGGGATCATCCCTTATGACAGTGGTCCCACCTTTTTGGCACCAGGGAAGACAGTTTTCCATTCATTGGTGCCGGCAGGTGGAGCAATGATGGAGCAATGGGGAGCGGCTGTAAAAGACAGATGAAGTTCCCTTGTGTGCCTGACATTCACCTCCTGCTGTGCATTGGGTCTTACAGGTCATGGACTGGTACTGTCCTGGCCTGGGGTTGGGGACCGCAGCCTTATGACATTAAAGCTTTATCATAGGCAAAGGAATGCACAGGTGATATTTTGAAACTATCAGTCCTGAATATTTACGTTTCTACTCTATGACATGACAAAACCAGAAATCTCTGTAAAATGATTTATTGGACAAGTTAGCAGGAAGAGGAGGTAGAACCTGCTATGCAGAAGACATAAAGGGGTCCTAGAACCACACGGTAGGACTGAGGAAGCCAACGAATGCAGGACCAAGGGAAAATGTTTGGGACTGGATAGACTGACCAGCAGGCTAATTGGTATACATGGAACAGCAGGGACTGGTAACTTTGGGGATATGACAGTTGGTTCTTGGGAAAGGTGAAGACTTGGCTGGTCCCTGGAGGCCAGAAGCAGCAGCTGGGATCTGCAGGAGCAGATAGAAATGCTCAGGTGTTCCAGAGGCCGATGACGGTGAGGATGGAGGAGCCCATGAAGAGCAGGTAGAGGCGGAAGAGCAAGGTGTCCATCATGTGGCTGAACTGCACCCACAGCTCACCTGTGCTGCTTCTGGGCCTCCTGCTCCGCTGGGCCCTTGTCCATCCTGACCCCGAGCTTCTGCCTCTCTGGGACCTGGCATCGCCCTGCACACTTCTGGTCCTTCACACTACAGAAAGACAGAGACTGAGCCCTAGGCTGTGAAAGTCTATCTGCCCAGGGAGGAAGCAGGGCAGAAAAGTGGGGGTGTGAAGAAGAGCAAGTGTGGGGCCGACTTCCCTCACCAGGCACGGGGGGGGCAGGCCAAGGCCCTGTTCCCCTTGTGGGACGCAGTGGGGCAGCATTTCCTTGGGCAGGTGCAGTGCAGCAGCAGGGAGTGGAGCCACCCCGGCATGGGTGGGGCTGGGTGGGGCCAGGTGCAGCAGGTAGGTGATGAAGACGTCTCAGCAGGCTGAGCACCATCAGCGACAGGCACAGGCAAAGTAGACACCTGGAGGGAAGGTGGGCCTGTGTGAGGCCAGAGGGACCACCAGACTTCTCTCTTCTGATCCCACCTTGGCAAGCATGAAGACTCCTTTCCCCAGTACACCTCCCCTGAGCTAGCTCCCATTCTTCTCTTCCCAAAGGTTGGAGGAGCCATACTGATGAGGGGGGTGCCACTGGTGGGGAGTAAGTCATTCATCAGTGAGCAGGAAGACGTTGTAGCCCAGCAGGAGGTTATATCTTGAATGGGGCGCGATTCCCACTTTCTGCTGGCAGGTAGAAGCTCATGGCGTCAATGGCCATGAGAAAGCCACTGGGCACCAGGAGGTTTATGATGTAGAGGCTGGGCCTGCGCCTGATGGCCACCTGGTGGGAGGAAGTGAGGGGAGTATATATGGGGTGGGAGGAAATCCAATTCAGAAATAGCAGCTCACTGCTAGGAATAGAAGCGATTGTTTCTGTCTCTGCCTTTTTCATTGTCTGATAACACCCTGGGATCTGGAGCTATGTGGCATGCAGCTTCATAATCTGATATAGAACCAGCCAAGAGGGTTAGGCCAGAGCCATGAATTTTAGGATGGAGAGTGAGGCTGGGCAGCCAGGAGAGAGAGTTCTGGCCTCAGGCAGAAAGTGGTAAGGTTGAGAGACCTTGAAACTTCGGAGATACTCATTTGGTGAGATTCTAGGCAAGGCAAGAGCAATCAAGGAAAGAAAAGCAAAGGCCTCCGAGCTCACATAGAACATAATCTGATCGTATAGTTTGTCTCCCACCAACATCCTTGGAGAGGCCTTGTTGATGCTCAGGAGCTCCCACTCTCCGTGGGTCTGAACGATGTCCCGGATGTGTCTGCTATCTCCCACACTTCTTTCTCCATGCCAGCAACATTTTTTCCACTGAAAGTGAGACCCATCCAGATCATCTTCCAAGGATATATTTTCTAGCTCAACTGCACTCTTGTTTCCCATCTTTTCATTCAGCAAATATTTTTTAACAACTACCATATGCCAGGAAGTTTGCTAGGAGCTTGGGATGGTGATAAACAAGACAGATGTGGTTCTGCCTTTA